ACATCACGTTCACGGACCTCGTGAATATGGTCCTCAATATGCGAGGCTCTAACCCTGCCACCGTGAAGGCACGGGACTGTAAACAGATGCAGCATCAGCCCCGCACGGTCCCGCCACGTCATGTGGCAGATGTCCCCAAGCCTTGCGGACTTGCTCCCCTATTTCATCCCGTTTCCTTCCAGACATGTTTGCATCAAGTTGTCGGAGCTTTACATACTTGTACCTATCAGGACTGCAAGGAGCAGATCCGGGTGACCAACTCGTTGATGAGGCGATGCTTCCTGGAGCTGTCCGACGAACTGGATGTGACCTGGCCGGAAGACTGCCAGTTTCCCCCAAGTCGCATCTATGCCTGTGCGTCATCCAAGGAGAGGTTCTCACAAGTCCGCACTGAAATTCAGAACAGCATGGACGAGTACCCAGATGATGAGGATATCACGGAATCGCAGGCGCTGCAATTCAGGAGCTACGAGGTCGAAGTGGCTGACATAGGCCGACGAAGTGAAGCAGCTGCCGCTGCGGAAGAAACCTGATGACTGTTCTTAATGAACATCTCGGTAGGACTGCGGCTGTGGAACTAGTCACAGGTCTTGCTGAAACAGTTTGAGCGGTACTTGCATGCAGTACACCAATCCGCTCCTACCGACGTCGTTGGAACTGTGCAGAAGTCTGGGCGACAGGCTGTACAAGTCAATGAAAGAATTGCTGAATCTCACTATTTCGGCTGCAACCCCTCCTACTAGCCCCTGTCCAGACAACGCCCAGATACATGTTAACTGAATCCATGTTGATCTGACAGCTGCAGAGCAGCTCTGCTCAGAGCTCTTCAAGGAATTGGACCCTAAAACCATGCAAAGCAGGTGAGGGTGCTGCCTTCAGCTTGTCGTCAGTGAGCCAAAAAAGGGCTGAAACCTTGGAGCACTGCGCAACCGACGAGCATTCGTCAGTGGTGTTTTTGAGTGTTGCATGGTCCATAGTTTCAGCAAAAGATAATATCTAGCCGAAGTGAAACGAGCCAAGAGGCAGTGTCATCCACCTTTAATTGGACAGGCCTGTGAATACCGTAGGTTCCGGGTAGATGTGGTTCCATTTCAGGGCTCAAAAGTAATCAGTTGTGACGTTTGGGTGATGCTCAGACCAATCGGGTTTTCGTCTTTTTTTGCTGTTGTTGAATTGCCCTTGTTCATTCAGGCCCCTCGCATATCGTGATGCATCTGTGGCTCTCCCAAGAAGACCCATTCATGGCAAAGAAGGCCACAGGCCGACCCCAGCGATGGTTCTTAGGTTGCAGCATTGCAATCATGCCGTCCTCGGACGCCATGTGCAACATGTGCTACAGCAGCGGCCCACAAAATCCGACTTGAGCCATGCAAAAGACAGCCATGCGAAAGACGCTGCTTCCAGCTCTACTTGTACTTGCAGTGCCGCTGCTTGCAGATAGAGAATTGGCCCTTGGATTGCCTTGGTTCGGGTATGAAACAGCAAGACTGTAGCAATTCTGTCGCAACTTTGTCCATTTTATGTGCAAGGTCTGCAAAACCTGCAGTAGAGCAGGTGGTGCTGCTCGGCCCTGCCTCCATGGCTTATACATTTTGGCCGCTCGCAACCACCGCCCACCAGCCACTTGGGCATCAATCCTTGTTTTCTTGCAGAAGGTCTGAAGTGTGCTGCTTCAGCCATGGTCAGCCGTGCAACTTGCCAAGTGTTTCGAGCCAGCACGTTTGGACTGAGGGCTGGTAGGTCGAAGTTGGCGCTTCGTGCAAGCGGATCTGGCCAGAAAGGTGGCCTCTCGGACCCCAGCGCCCAGCGCAAGCGTAGCCTTCAAGCTGTCGCGTCTGGCTTGTTCTTCATTCATTATCCTGCAAGCTTGGAGTTGGGGCCCTTCGACACACTTCAGGAACTGTCTACGTCTGCACGGGACCCTCCTGTAGGAATGACGGAGCAGAAGGCCGCTCTCAGAGCTTCGCTTGGGATGCTTCAGAACTTAAGACTGGAAAATGCAAACTCTGGAGAGGCTGTTTGCAGCTGCTCCGCAGCGTGGCGCCGGAGGGTGTGCAGGTCAAGGCATACGAGGGGGGACTGCCTAGCAATGTTTCTTCCACACTCTTCCTTTGGGCTGCCTTTTTTGTTGTATACGAGGAACAAGCGTAAGCCCTCGGCCGGCAGCACTCCGGCTCGACCGCCTGAAATTTCGAATTCCCATCATCCCTTCGCCTGACGTCGTCAGCATTCCTCGCCTGGCGCCTTTTCCGAGGCCTTCGCCGACTTCGCCACGGCGACTGGCTTGATCTGGTGACGGCACCTGCTATACGTCGCCGGCGCCTACAGCAGCTTCGCCGGAGGAGGGGCCCACGACGGGCGCAGGGGACGCCGAGCAGCCCACGTTGGTGGAATTGGCAGGTATCACCATCATCGCCTCCGGCGGTCCACCTGGGCCCTTTCGACTTCCACGACGTGGGCGTCCAGACAGATGACAAGATCATCCGCACCTCCATCGCCGGAGTGGCTGTGGAAACTCTCGCCTCGGCTCTTCAGGCACTCTCGCCCGAGGATCGGGAGCGCCTGGTTACCGCGCACGCGGTGGCCGAGGCTCAGTGGACGTGGCGCCTCTCCATTAGCTGGCCTTTACCGCTCTGCCTTCGACATCTTTGTGGGTGCCGACTAGGCCGGTCCTGCTTGACTTTGACGACTTGGCGTTCCTTTCGTGCCTTAGAGCAAAGCTGCCGGCGACTTGTCGGGGCCCAAGGCCGGGGGCCCGTGCCGCCCGTCTTCGACATGATGATGGGCCAGCCTGTCATGGGCGCTGCAGTTGGGTGCTGCAGTTCGGCACTATGCGCCTTTGGAGGCACTTCTTCGTCTTCGGCGTCTTGCAGGCCCCCCAAGACCACGCCGCAGCCCACGCATCCGATCGTCCCGAACGGCCACTGGGCGCCCAACACTCTCGTCAAACCGGAGCATACGTCGACGCTTGCCCTTGGATCGCTTTCACCGACTTGGAGTTCGCCCTCATGAAGGGCTATATGGCAAGGACTCCTCGGTCAATGGGGGAGCGAGCGCCCGAGGCGAACGTCTCGAACGCCGTCTCTCGGGGCGACGACTCCAGAGTTCGGGCAGAGGGCTGGGCAGCAGGCACCCGTCGACGAGATCGGTCATGCAGGTCTGGGCGAGGCGGCCGTAGATGTCGGCTTCGCCTGATGCCTGAACGGCTGCTTGATCTTGTCCCATTTGGTAGGTGCCGGCGCATGGTGGGGCGTGGGTGCGCCGGGCGGGCGCAGAACTGCGCGAGTTTCGGGCAGTGTGCCCGGCTGGGCGCTGTTTGCCACTGCACGCTTGTAGGAAGTTTTGGCTAACACGCCGAAGCGCTTGTTGTGCAGTGCATTTATGCACGTAGGAACAAGCGTAAGCGGTCGGCCGGCAGCACTCCGGCTCGACCGCTTGAAATTTCGAATCCCACCCTCGCCACCCTGAGGTTATTTTAAATTGAGACTCCGTCTGACCGTCGGCCAGCACTCGCCCCCTCGGGCGGCGCTCGGGGAGGGCGCAGAAGTGCATACCCCGGCATCGGCACTGCGGAACGCTGTGTGCGCTACGACCAACACAGGGGCCACAGTGCCTTCGTAAACACAGGGGCCACAGTGCCTTCGTAGGAAGTTTTGGCTAACTAACAGGCCACGACCAGTATCCCTTGCAAAGTAAGTAAGTGTGTGTGTGTGTGTGTGCATGTGCAAGTGGTCGGTTGGAGATCAGCACTAGTCAGCTGGGATGGCAGCTACGGTCAGAGAAGTTACGATCTGTTTGTGTGCAGTCGTCCGGGCACCATTGCTTTCAACGCAGCCTTTGCGTCGAGTCACGGTTTCGTACTCGAGGAGACCGGCTGTTTGGGACCTTGCTCCTCGGGGCCAAACGTGCTAGCAACACCAAGACCAGCTAGTGCGCCACAGCTGCATGTTGTGCCGCCGTTCGAGACGATCTCGGCATCAGTGTGGGAGGCTCCAAAAATTCACAAGATATCTGGCTGCCCCGGTGCAATGCATAGGATGTCCAAGATGTTCCAACGTTTTGATACAGCCAAGGACCCTCTTGGTGGCAAAGGCCGCGAAGCCCGCAATGTTGGTGGTGTGGAGCAACCTGCGGGTGTTTGCTTTACAGGCGCCGTGGACGGTGCAAACATGTGATGTCACAGAGAAACATGCTAGGAAATAGAACAGCTGGCATCTTCCCTAGGCATTAAGGCCGAGGAGGACATGGCTGCTCGGACAGTACTGTATGTACCGTAGACGTCGATCTGAGAGCGGTTGGGTTCTCGTCTCGTCCAGTGAACCAATCGCAGGGTATGGTGCATGGACTGAGGCCCTTCTGTCAGCATGGGGTTTCCAAGCCGACGCTTCCTCGAACCCATTGTCTGCGCTGCGATTGCTCGTTCGTTCTACAGGAGCAGACCAGGCCAAGCCTTCAGTACTGCAGCTGGCATGTTGGACTCCTCTAGAGTTTCCGAGGTATTTCATCATTTTCATCAGTCAACAGGATTGTACTAGCAGTGAAAGCGTGGCCGGCGTAGTAGGACCGTCACGCCGTCGCTTCAGCTGCATTCATTCTATGGAGGTGCCGTGGCCCATCCTCCTTTATGCAGCTTGTCCCAACCAGTCTGTGCAGGCCACATTTCATCACCTGTGCAGGCATGCTTTGGCTGAGGTTGGGTTCAACTTGGTCAGGCTTCCCATTAACATCATTTTCCATGTAGATCTCCTTCAGCTGATTAGTCAGGCCGTCAAACCCGCCGCTTAGCGGCAGGCGACATTTTCCGATCAGAGACTGCAACACGGGGCGACAGAGTCGTCACCTGTCTGTGACCTGTCGACTCATCTCTGAGTTGTCACTGGGGGCTTGCAGAGCAGGCGAGAAATCGGATTCGAAAAGGAAGCGCGAATGCGGAGGAAACGGCTGAGCAGCTTGTCGCTGCGGCAGAGGCCACGTAGCCCAGTTAGAAGCCATTGCAACAGGATTGCGCCCTGTACCGACGACTACTGGCTCGCCTTTTGGTGCTGTGGAGGCTGCCAAATAGTTGCGATGGCACATTCAAGATACTCCTCCCCAAGTTGAGTAAGATGCTCAGGCATGTCAGTTGTGGCTGCAGCAGCCATGGAACGTCGGGTGGAGAGAAGTCTAGATAGAAAGGACCTTACAGAAGCCGTTTCGTTCTACTCGAGACTGCCGAACGACCTAACGACCTGTCATTGCCCATGCTGCCAGGCAACTCGAAGAGCCAGTGCTGCAGCCGATGCGCACTGCTCAAACCTGCAGTCTGAAAAGTGATACAGAGAAGAAGAGAGTATCGTTCGAAATTCGTTGGTTTCGCACCCTTGTTTGTGCGGGCCAGTTGTATTCAGGCTTGCCACGATCGGCCTCGACAAGCTGAGCGAGATGCCGTTTGAGGTCCTGCCGGCACGATGTCGTTGTCATTGTAAGCCGTGCTGGTGCAGGGAGCCGCTGACAGGCTGCATCTACCATCGAATGCACTCGCTGCTATATTTTTTCGTGAACCTTGGATCTTCTTCAGCAGCTGCACCGGATGCCCAGGAACAGCAAGTTGGTGCCACTGGCAGCAAGTCAATACAAGCGCGTACACACACGGAGGAATTTATGCCATGTAGGGAGAAGCCAGTCGCTTAATTACTTGTCCAGTAACTAGCGTGACACATCTACGTGCTCTTCATGGCAGGTGTTGGTGCGCGTGCCTCTTCGCGGCGTCTCGGTGCCGCTCCGAATGGGATGAGGGCATGCATGGGTTGTTTGGGGCAGGCTGGTCCCCGAGTCACGACCAATTTCAGCATACTTTTTGCTGTTTGCATAGGCAGTCCCGAGCCGAGAGGTTGCTGCACAGTGTTTCTGTGCATGCGTAGTTCTCTGCACGATCAATGTTCATCCCCTATCCTTTTCTGCACTTGGTATGGTTTAGTTACCTCAGTTTACAGTTTGCAAGCATTCGAACATGATAAAGGCAGCACGAATTGATTTGTGCCTTTGGTTGTTGGTTTGTGATCAGCAGTTCAGTGCATCTGGCTACCATGTAGACTCGAGTAGTCTCGATCTTTCTGGACGTCCTGTCTGGGGCAATTTGCATGGTGGGTCTTAGCATTTGGTTGGCGGACTGTGCGTGTTCGGCAACAGGATGTTCAGTCTAGTTTCACGCCGACTTCGCACCATGAACCTCGCCTGGCTTGTCCGAGTTGTGAGAGCGTAATTGATTTGTGCTAGATACTGTGGTCAAAATAGACTGCATACACTTGCCAACTTGCCAAGATACGCACAGTTGGCGGCGGGAGGAGCGGGAGGATAGGTTTAGTGCTTCAATAGCTACGACCACTATAGTGTCATAAGTACGTTTTCGCCCAATGGAGTCCGGCATCGAATGGCCGAAGGCTGCTTGAGTGAGGGTCAGCAATGCGGCTAGCAGCCAGGGATGGCAGAACCCAAGCCCACACCGGCCACACCTGCACTGCCTACACCGACTCTGAAATCCGCCATCGATGAGAGCGACTCCGATGACGGACCTCGGGATGTGGAGATTGAATTGGAGCTGCCGCAGTACAAAATCGACGAGCTGCTGGCTCAGCTTCAAGATGAAGCCTCCAGCCTCAAGGCGGAATTCCCACTGGCGCACGTGGCTGCTGTTTCAGGCTCCAGGCCCAGACTTCCGGCGAAACACTTGCCATCCGCAGTTTCACAGGCTTTTGGTGACTCCGCCGCCTTTAGAAATGCGGACCAGTGGGATCCGTTGACGAAGCTTGCACAGTTCAAGCACCTCCAGGCCCGATACGCAGCGGTCAAGGAACAGATGGAGCGAGCAGAGAGTACGAAGCGGATTTTGCAGCAGGTCCCATGTGCAGGTGCATCGAATTCAGTGCAAGAGCCAGACAAAGTGCCAGAATTGACACCACCGGAGTTCCCGCCTCCCGGAGGGCTTCCTTTTCCTTATTGTGGCGTCCCAGGCGTGCTGTCACCTCGCGCGAAGCCGCCGCCCGAGCCGAGCAAGGACTTCACGGATGGGGATTGGGCCTACGAAGCTGTGAAGGAGATCATCCGAGAAGAAGGTCCATCCGTCCATACCCGCATGACCAAAGAGGAAGTCATGCTCGCGAAGGACGGCATGGACATGACCCTCAATCATCTTAGGACTACAGGCTCGCGGATGGTGAATGAAGTGCGTGAGCTGGAAAGGAAGATTGATGAAGCAGAGAATTTGGCTGAGGTGAGATACCTGGCCGGGAATGAACCAGAACTCCAGGACGAGCTGGTGAGGCAGCAGCGCTTGATCCACGAGCAGCAGAGGCTGGCAGATGAGGCTCGGCTGGAGCTTGAGCTAGAGAAGGAGAGAGCATTCTGGAACAGGAGAGACAAGATTTTGCAGCCAGAGGAAGTTGATGACTTCAAACTGGAGGGTGATCCTATTCCGTATCCCGCTGCCGAAGATGAGATCATCGCGGCTTCCCGGGTCACCTCAAACCGGTACCCGGCAATGCGCCACATGATGCCCGAACTTGCACCCGAGGGGGCCGGTCCTATGTCACGGTATCGGCTCGAGCTGCCTGCATCACGGGAGTATCACGGCCGAGTGGCATATCAGGCAGCAGAGCTCGGCTGGCCATCTCCAGCCGAAGCTCTGGCCATTGAAAACCTGGACTCGCCCAAGCACAGGTCCGCTTTGACCGGCCCTGAGCGAACTGAGCGAAGTCCAAGAGAGCCAGAGCCAGGACCCTCACCACGCTCCCCGGGCTCCCCGAGCCCTCCGGCAGGCGGTTTTTTCGCAGGATATCAACAGGATCAAGGATTCGGGACACGTGGGGGTCCCCAAAGTCAACGTAGCGATGCGGATGAGCTTGATGATCCTGTTTGGGAGGCAGTTGATGTGCGGGGAAGGCCTTTGACACAACGGAAAGGGAAAGCCAGCGCAGCCACGGACGATACCTATGTTCAGTGGAACCCGCCCGCGATTGCCGCCTTTTCCGGATTTGATACGAGAGATACCCAACAATCCTCTGCTGTGGTTGAGACCCTTGATGTTTCGGAAGATGAGTATCCAGGCAGGCCAGGCAGGTACGTCAAGCCGGCCTTTGCGGCCTTTGCCGGCGAAGCGAGTAGATCTGCTGTCGATTTCTTCGGCAGTTCGGATAGAGAACTTGCCGCATCGCCTCGACGAGAACCAGAAGAAGAGCAAGAGTTCGAGTCAAACGAGGAGGAAGATGAGGAAGAGTACGAAGAGGAGGGCTACTTTGGTTCTTTACTGACAGGTGCTGGCATAACGGAGCGACAGCCGAAAGCGAAAGCTCCGATTGATCCGTCTGCTCGCTTCATGGCGGGAGCTTGCATGACTCGCAATCCTCCCCTGGAAATCCCGAAAATCGAGGACGTGCACAGTCAGGGCCTCAAGGCAGTCGACCACATTTGTGACGTCTTGCTGCAGAAACGGCAGGATGGGCAGCTAGGCGACCCTGACACTGCGAAGCTGGCTTTGGACTACGTCGTTGCGGTGGCGCTCCTGTCCGAAAAGGTGGTTGCGACGGGCGAGGCCTGGAAACATGTTGGCATCATAACCGACATTCTTCACTTTTTCCCACTTTGTGCCCACATTCACCTGTGGTCCTTGGAGGCCTTGATGTCCATGCTCCGACATGAAGACAACTTTAAAGCTGACAGTCTGGCTAGACCTGTTTTTGATTCCGTAACGGATCTGATGAAAATCCATTTGGAAGACCGGGCGCTGCGGACAGCCACACCGGAGCTGCCCACCCGACTACTCGCAAGCATTGCCCTGGCCATAACACCGGATAACGTGAGGCGTCTTACCAACACACACGTCGACTTCGCTCTGGCCCTCATGAAGGAGCCTGATGTTTATCCTCTGACCACCGAGCACGGACTGCAGATCATCGTGCTGGCGGCCTCGACTCAAAATTTACGAGCACAGACCGAAGCAGCCAAGTTTGCGCTTCGGTGCTTTAAGGCTGAGCCTCGACTAGTGCCCAGAGCTCTTCTGGCCCTGAGCACCACGTATAATGCCGCGGCCAGGGGAGGCTTAGGTGGCACGATTCTGGTGAAGGAACCCTCTCCAACTGATGCTATTGAGCCAGAGTCAGAGCACGAAGGCTTGGTGCCAATTGCTTTCCGTGATATTACTACGACAATGGATGTCTACGCCAAGGATCGTAAAATCCAGGGAGCCGGGGCACGAGCATTGGAAAGTGCTATGGAGGTCACGGGCGTGAGTTTGAAGGCCTTGGTACGAGATGGTTTGCTTCGGTCCGTCAGCTTGGCCCATCAGCGATTTCCAGAGAGTTGTTCCGTTGCACTCGCACTTTGCCGTGTCATAGGGAGGACAATGCTGCGGGAGCCCGACTTGGTTTCCCCTGAAGTCGGTATCGCGGCGCTCTCCGCAGGAGCATCTCTGCCACGCGATGCTGAGGTGGTCGTGGCATCTTTGGAAGCTGTTTATGTAATTGCTCCGAAGCTCAGTGCCTTATGGAGTGGTGTAAGTACGGCAGCAGATCGGCTTGCGCTTGTCGCCGGCGATTTGGTGAGACTTGGCGAGGTGCGCCACAAAGATTCCCACTCAGTTGGAATGCTTCTGGTCATACTCACATGTTTATGCAGCGATGGCCATGGGCAGAACCCCGGTGGAATCAACGGCGAGCGATGGCGTCTAGCTTTCGGGAGAGCAGCCGGTGTTGCGGTGCCCCTACGTGCACTTTTTGAACACTCCAAGAACTTAGACATGGTCACAGCCGCCGGCATTGCACTTCGCTGCCTGACTTATGGGACGCCTCAGTCCTGTGCACATGCTGCCAGAGCACGTGCAGGCCCAGTCTTGCTCAGCAGCCTCATAGCATATGCCAGCAAACCAGCAACCACGAGGGAGCTGCTCGCGGCCCTGGCAAACTGTGCAAGTGAGGATTCACTCCGAGAGGACTTTAGAAAAGGCCTGCCCCAAACTGCCGAGGTCATTTACAATGCCATGGAGCAATCCGCAGACAGAGAACCCGATGTTCTGGCACAAGGTTGCAGGGCTTTTGGTGCCATGTATTCCTCTCGACAACAAGACGTCAACCTAGGCCTCAAGCCTGGAGAGAAGCCTAAGCAGACATCGGTAGTTCAATGGGCCAAATTGAACAATGCCATCATGAAAACTGTGATTGGTATCACTGTGCAGAACGGGGGTGCCGTTGAAGGCAGCGCGCTGGAAGTTCTCAGCGGCTCAGAGTCTCGTGAACAGAAACTCGAATCTACTCGCCGTCAACTGGGGGAGCTTTGCATGCATTTGGCAAATGGCTCTTTAGCTGCAGGGCCCCAGTTTGGCCGGCTTCTAAGCAAGGGAGGCGAGCCCACGGCGGAGTGCACTCCACGCTGGAGCTCCGTCCGTTTGCGCCTACAGGCAAGAGCAGAGCGCCGCAAGGGAGCCACCAAGGAAGAGCCTGCAGATCAACCTGCGCCACCAGCCAGCGATATCGACCTCGACGATTAGTCTTGTTAACGTCCTTGCCTGCCTTTGTAAAAACAGAAGGCGCGGCGATGCCGGCATGCTTTCAAGGCAGGCAGCTCTCTACCTGCAGTCCTGCTTGCTGTGCAAAATATGCGGCGGACAGTTTCGCACGCAGTGTTGAGTCGAGACAAGTAGACTGTCTGTCTGAGTCTCATGATGAACGGTTAATGACCATCAAGAAATGATAGGTATGTTTGCTCGACCTGCGTGGCAACTTGTTCGTCCACACTGCAGAGGCTAGGTTGGGCCGTTTGTGGTCATGCCTTGCCTCGAGCGTTGCTTTCCTCATACTGCAGGCCGGCGATGCCGCAATTCCCGCCGCTTGCTTCTGCCTTAGCCAAAGTCGGAGTTCAAAACTTCTCGTTTCTGAGCCGGTGAGCCGCAGTTCACGTGAGGCTTAGAGCTTCCTCAGCTCGTGCGTTCCAATGGTGTCTACTGGCCTGCGCAAGCTGAAGCAGTCTCGACATGACCCACTGTCCAAGCCACACTCGGCTTGCTGCCAAAGACGCGAGCTGCATCCCAAGACCGAGACAGAGGTATCGTGACCTGTAATTAGCAAGTCAAGGCCATTGACAATGCTCGCCGTGGTTTGCGGTGAGACCCAAGTACCAGTCCCGCAGTCGTTTGTGCTCCACAACTCAGTGAGCCAGCCAAGAGTATGTCGAATCGAGACCCAGGAGCATTTGAAGTCAATGGGTCACGCTTGGCAATTGCGCTGCCATTCCTCGCCCGATTATCGCGCCCTCTCCGTGTCTCCACTAAACGTTCAGCGAAGGATGATCCCAACAACGCATCCTAGATCTAGCTGAGTCTAGCTTCCACTTCAACCCCTGCTTTTTCTACCTTAGAATATAGCAGCCACACGTATCCGGTTTGGGCCGCGGAGGGCCGGGAGCTTGGAGCAGCGAGGGGCGAAGTGCACAGCTTGAGTCGACTGGTCCGCCTGCAGCTGTTTTTTACTCAGCCTCGCTTCGTGCTTCACCGGATGTCGTAACGAGCCTGTCAAGATCATGACCGCTGCCCAGGCCCATTGGGGGATTGACTCCGGCGAGTGTGACACGACCATGCCTTCATGATCTTCATGGATCACTCTGCCAGGTCCAGTTTCCGATCATCTGCCGCCAGCATGACAGCAGATGATGGAAATAAAGGCCTTTGTCAAGATTGCGGTGCAGCAAATCGAGAGATCTTCAAGGACCATCTCCGATAATAATTCGTTGGTATCCTGTTAGCTACGCGACACAGATGCGCCAGAGGTTCGGCGCCTTGCGAAGATTCGAAATTCCGTAGTCTGGATATTTCTGTGACTGAGTTTTGCACACATACTGCTGTATGTCAACTGTCTATTACTGTCTATACAATGAATCCTTCAGACTTGGGGAGATGCAATGAAACCATGACAGCCGCAGTAGGCTAGATTTGCCGGATTCGGATTTGCCTCAGATTTGAATTTGACCAAGACAACATGGCATGATACATCTCTGAGATCCAGATCTGTGTGTTTTGGACTGCCCAAGTTGTAAACGACAGAAACTTCCTCAGGACCTCAGTGACGGAGGACTGTACTGCAAAGAGTGCGCCTTGCCAAGAAATGAATATGTCTGATCCGATGGCTCTTCAGGGTTCTACAATGTCCGGAGCGCAAAACCCAAGAAGCGAACATTCTGGGACAGACCACTGCTTGCCAAACGGGGATGGCCAAATCCGCAATGACCATCTGACACCCTTTGAATAGCCCTCGTACAAGCTCTCCTGCTTGAACAATCATGGGTTTGGGTGGCCAGCCCTCAGGGTGCTAAATCTCGCCACTTGAGTTGAACGAGCTTGAGACGGAGGAAGTAGGAAGACGGAATTGCCAGAACCGACAATCGGCGGTTCTTCCGGGCATGGTGAGCGACTTCGGAATGAGAGCAAGAGGTTATGCTGGTTATTTGGCACTCAGGTTGGGTGCTTTACTATGGCAGACTTCCATTGCAGCAACTTGCGCCTTCGCGGAGTGCCGAAAGAGACCTGCCGAGCTCACAACAGGAGGACGATCCTGCCTACTTCTGGCATGACTAGCGCAGTGCCTCGCATCAATTTCTGGCTGTCGTTGCTTCGCACATTGATATCACCTTGTTGGGGCATCGAGAATCCAGTCCAAACGGTGCGATACTGAATTCGCTATAGGGCTAGAGGGTAACATGTCAGTCTGCCTCAGCAGCCAAGACAGCTATGACTTCGTCACTTCGTCAGGACTTGCTTCCAGAGGATGCGCCAAAGCGCCATCTGGCCCACAGTGTGGCAGCCTGGCCCTGGCAGAAGGGAAGCTCGAGAGATAATACGAATCAGACCAGTGACAGCACACAACATGAGAAGACCCAACGAGACATGCTGCTAACGAACATATGTACTTGTGACTGCTGCCCACTGCGCCAAAACTCCGAACAGCAAGTTTGTGTGCGTGTGTGTGTGTGTGTGCGTGCGCGTGCGTGTCTGTCTGTGCGTGTCTGTTTGTGCGCGCGCGCGTGTGTGTGTGTG